TTCTTCTATTATTAGATATTCTAAAGGTCTACGGCTAAGGTCTGTTATTTAATATTAGGTATCTATAGTAAACAAGTTTCCGTACGGTATTAACAGTAAAATGTTATTTAAAACAAGCTGTCATGATCCAGTTCTATTGAAAAAATTAAAACAACTTTCCAAACTAGGTAATATTGCAATATAGAAAGTACATGATCCATTTATATGTACTTAATTGTATCAAATATAATGTATATGGTGTAGGTAAAGTAAGATATACCAATCCTAGTCGATTAAAGCCCACACAAACTCCAACGCATTCATCCTTAACTTGATGAACACTGAATAAAACACTTGATGTAATCAATCCTAAAAAGCCGAAGAATTTCCAACGCATCCATCTTTAACCGGATAAAACTGGATTTAAACTAACATAGTAAGTTAAAGCCGACGAATTTCCAACGCATCCATCTTTAACCGGATAAAACTGGATTTAAACTAACCTAGAAAGTTAAAGCCGAAGAATTTCCAACGCGTCAATCTTTAACCGGATAAAACTGAATATAACCAATTCTAATATGTTTAAGCCCGACGAATTTCCAACGCATCCATCTTTAACCGGATAAAACTGAATATAACCAATTCTAATATGTTTAAGCCCGACGAATTTGCGAAGCCTCCATCCTTAACCGGATAAAACTGAATATAACCAATCCTAACATGTTTAAGTCCGAAGAATTTGCAAAACATCCATCTTTAACCGGATAAAACTGGGTCTAACCAATCCCAATAGGTAAAAGCGCGAAGAATTTTCAAACATTTCATCTTTAAGTGGACAAAACTGGATCTAACCAATCTGATAGGTAAAATTCCGAATAATTTCCAAAGCATCCATCTTTTACCGGATAAAATTGGTTAGTAGCAGTCTATACCAAGCCCTGAAGAACCTTCAACGCATCGACCTTTCTATCCAATCTATCCTATAGATCTATCCAATCCTAGTGGGTTAAACCTGAAGAATCTTAAACGCATCCAATTTCAACCGGATCCAATTTCTCTATCCTATTTTTATTTTTAAGAATTAGAATTATTGCCCGATAGCTCCAGCAGTAATGTCTGTATTAACGGTAAGGGCGATTGTCATAAAAATCAGTATTGTACAGAACGGAGAAGATTTATAATCTCAACTTGAATCTATAAGACCCGAATTTATCATTCATTCTTTCCTATTTCGTAACAGCACATACGGGATGTAAAATTATTAGTTATGACCTTAAGGAGAAGTACATTAAGTTTTAAGCTATTTCGTGAAATTTATTTTATATACGAACCCTTAACTATAAGACAGTTTAAATTAATTAAATATAATTTCAGAAAATTGCGTCTTCAGTCTCCATTCAATTTGCACAATAGTTAACTCATTAAATACCAATTCTTTCATTTGACTAAATTCAATATTCCATCAAGCGAAATTATTCCCCCCCCCCTGCTCTCCTTACAATCGTCTTTTCTTCGAAATGACAAGCAGGTCTCCTTGTCAAATGCAAATTTACAACAAAGGCGCACATAATAACTCATGTCGATGTGCATCTTTTACCACGTTCTAATCATTTCAAAACTTTATTTCGAGTGTACCAGCGAACAATTATGGAATGCCAAGCCAATCAGAATATTAATTTCTGGCGTCTGTACTAAATAAAACAGCATTTACTTCTGTCGATATTCGTCTATTCTTCACGGAAAACTCAACCAGTTTATTTCGATTTCAACGTTCTCTTCTAGCCTCAATCTAATCAGCTTCCATTGTGGGTCTTGATATGCACATTTTATTTATTTATTTTAGTTTTTTTTAGTTTCCGTTTTTTTTCTCTCTTCTATTTCATTTCGACGCTTCAAGAAGAAGAAGAAGAAGAAATTCAAAAGGGGTATAGGAAGTCTCTAAAAGGTTATTGTGCGAGTCATTTTAAATTTATTCATGTATTCAGACTATTTCCCGTTTCTTCAAATGCAATAGTCGATTTCTTTTTGGAGAGGATTCTCTTCGGAATTTCAGAGTCACAGTTTGAAAGGATATACGCGGTATTGCAAAGGTATACGTATGGGAATTAAAGCTAAGTTTCTATTTTTTACCACTTTTAAAGAGCATTTATTTAGTTAAAATGACTTGCATTTAAAAGTTCTAAAAAGAATCAAATAAGATACCATATCCAATGAACATGGGAACTACTATAGTATACTTTGCTTATTTATTTTAAGAAGCTATGGATTACATTTAACAATGGTAATGTAATGCATTTTTTTTTCTTCAAAAATAATCATTAAACTTTAAGGAAAAAAATAAAACTAAAGGAAACTATTAATTATTCGTAACAAGAATAATAAATCACATGCGATTTTTTTAAACCGTAAGAGTTTAAAGAAGTAATAAAATAACCTTTAGAAAACTAACGGTGAATCTTAACAAAGAATGGCGTATCGCAGAAAACTTAAAAACTTTCAGGAAATTAAACAATGAACTTTAAAAAACTACACATTAAACTTAAAAAATTTTTATCTTTAATATACAAAATATTAATTTTAAAAAATAATGTGTCTGTCTTTTTTTTAAAAAAATATAGAAAAAATAATAAGTGATAAAAATATCAATAGATATGCTGACAAAAAATTAACAGAAAAATTATTATAGCAATGTTATTTTTATTAATATATTTTCTAAGGTTTTGTATAGGTAAATAAAAGAAAAATATTATTGGTAAATCTCGATCAAATGATTGAATTTTCGCGAACTAAAATCTAATATTCACAGTAAAAACTTATTATTTTTAATATAAAATATGTAATTGAGCGGTACTTAACAAATTGTGTTTTATAAAATACACAATATTTTAACTGCGTATGATTACTATTTGGTTTGAAGATTATCATAATTGTTTGTATTATTTTCATAAACAATTATTATATGAGTACTGCAAAAAAAATTTTGATTTGAGATTTAAGAAGAAATGGTTCAAGCTCTAATTAAAAAAATTAAAAAGGATTTTTTTCATTTCATCTCTGGAATTATTTGGTTTAAAGCAACGACACTATAAACCAAACGACGCGTTGTTAAATATTCTTTTAAAAATAGTTGGAGTTTTATGCAAAAATGAAGTACATATATTTCATGCAATTCCTAGAAGTGAAAAAACTACATTTGAAATTGCAATTTTAAGCTCATTAAAAATTTGAAACTGTTTCGGGAAATTATCTAAATAGAGGGTGGAAAAAAATCATATTTTCTTTTTTTTAACTTCGATTCTAGAACAAAAATAAAATTATTTAGTGCAACAATGTAGAACATATACATAATGATGTATAAAACTATTTCCTAATAAAAAAAATTTCAATTTTTAAAAAATTGCAAAGAAAAAAAACGAACAAAATTACAGGCAACAAAAGTACGAAAAACATCAAGTTTCGGCATATTTAGAATGGTTTTCATAAATATATTTTGTAGCATTAACAAATTCAGAAAATTAAGGAAAGGATCTTAATTACCGAGTTGCTCATTACGCAGAACTTTTACACTCTTACCCATACCTTCTCCCTCCCACGCACTTCCGCTCGCAGTCAAAGCTTTGACACAAGACCCGTGTTCACGGGTAATATTGCAAAGTCATTAACAAACATTTTTAATTAGATGTAAGGTCATGAATCCTTTATGACTAAACACAAGCGATTAGACGTAAAATTTTAACTTTATATTGTTTTGGCTCCCAAGTTAAAACGATTATTCAAATATGCGTTTCTTGGAGGATTTTTGGCGTTTAAAGTGTATGATTTTGAATAATTAAATAATACGAGAAATTAGAAACTTAAGAAAAGACATCGCGTAATCAGGGGAAATTTGTTAATTTTAAGGTAGTGCGTGTGATTGCTTTAAAGTCTAATAGCGTCACAGTTGAAACAAAATTTTTAGTCTTCGACGATTATACCACAAATTACGGGTTTATAATCTTTTTATTTGTTTACGAATTGATTTTCAGATTCACTGATTAACCCATTTTCTCATTCGTATATTTATTGATACGTTGTGTCTCTAATACGCTGATTTAATGAAACGTTGATTCTCTAATATGTTTCATTCATTCGCTGATTATCAACTACACTGATTTATTGATACGTTAATTTTCTCATATGCTACATTATTGATTCGTTGATTCTCTAATGCGCTGATTTAATGAAACGTTGATTCTCTAATATGTTTCATTTATTTGCTGATTATCTAATACACTGATTTATTGATACGTTAATTTTCTAATATGCTACATTATTGACTCGTTGATTCTCTAATGTGCTGATTTATTCATATGTTGATTCTTTAAAATGCTTTTTTTATTCATAAGCTGATTCTCTAACACGCAGTTGTATCAATTCGTTGATTCTTTAATGCGTTGATTTATTAATAAGTTAATTCTCTAATGCGCTGATTTACTAATAAGCTGATACTCCAATACGCTGTTTTATTGATTTCATAATTCTCAAATACGCTGATTTAATAATAAGTTTATTCTTAAATACGCAGTATTAATGTTTCGCTGAATCTCTAACACGCTGTTTTATAACGCTAGTTGACTTTTTAATATTTGATTTATTGATATGTTGATTCTCTAATACGCTGATTTATTGATTCGTTCTTTCTCTAATACGGTTACTTATTATCGCGCTGCTTTCAACTTTATTCATTGAAAATATCAAAAACCATTCAATATAGCAAACGCTATTAAAAAAGTTATTAACAGAAACAGCTAAAATTGACGATCAGGTTATTTTTTATATAAAATGATAACTCCCAGATATTTAACGATACTGCTTCTTTAAGTAAATGTTATCTCAGCTTTCGAACTATTTAAGCTGTATGTGGAAATTTTCATTTATATATATATTGTTATTTATTCCCACATTTTTTACACTCATACATTGGAAATATTTATATAGTGACAGAGAAAATAATTTAATAGAAGTAATCACAATTTACTAACCATTTTGTTATTGATTTCATGAAAATGTATTTCGCAAACTTTGTCAACGACATCTTCATTTTCAAAAGTTACAAATCCGAATCCTAGAAAGAAAAATAATATATCATTCTATAACTAAATTATTAGATATGTTTCAGTATTCAAACGTATTCAAATCATGATACTTACTTTAAAGCATAAATGCATACATTTTATAAATAAAAAAGTTTATAAATTATGTAATTAGTTCCTGGTAACTTCACTTTTTTTTATATTGAAAAACTGTACAAAGTACGCTATAAGTACGCCTTCAATATAAATAAAGTATACTTTTGTGAGAATAACTTTCAACAAATAAGATACTTTCTATGAACTAGCCGAAAAAATTAACGAAAAATAAATAACCGGTATTTAGAATACTATTCATAACAACACTTGTGATTCCGTAAAACTCTCGCCTCATATAATTCTTGTGCAACTACTGTAAAAGTGTTTCACTGCAAGAAGACTATGTTGGCAGAGAAACTTGTAATCAGAAGCGAGACAAGTTAGCTCTGTTATAGCTTAATTCATCAAGCTGCATGTCTAAAGGTGCTTGAAATTTCCATTTCCACAATCGATTATAAAAATGTATTAATAAGCGAAATCAGAAAACATAAATAAAAATGTTTTAATGAATAATATATAGAATAATCAAGACGTAAGATCAAGAAATCTTAAAAAATGTAGTTGGATAAAATAAACTTTCGAAAGATAGAATCGAATTAAAAAAGTATCCTCTAAATTTAATATTCACTATAAATAAATTATCTTTTTTACATTAAGTTTATAATTAAAATGAGAATGAAATTAGCAAATGTTTTTCCTTCTACCATGTAAAATACAACAGAAATTATTTACCGTAAAAAATATTCATCAAAATATATTGCAAAATTGCATAATGCGAATTGCAAGTTATGTTGCAAATGCATGATAAACGACTTAATTTTTGGCAGGAAAACTGAGAGCAAAATCTTTTATTTTTCTCATCAATAAAATAAATCATTTAACTCTTTTCTAAAAAAAACTTTTGAAATTTAATTTAAAAGTCGGTTGAAAAGCTTTTTATTTAGAATTTATTATAAAAAAAAAATACAATCCGAGATATTTTTCAAAATGCCTAATGCATAATGAACTAAATGTTTTGGCAGAAAAACTAAGAGCGAAATCTTTAAATTTTTTTTCATTAATGAAATAAATCATTTACTCCTTTTTTTTTCCTTTAAAAAAACGCTTTTGAAATTTGATAGTCGGGTGAAAAACAAGTTATTTAGTATTTGTTAAAAAAATTACTTTCTGAGATTTTTTTTTTCTTCAGAAAAACAGCTCCAAGCAAATATTTTACTGATTGATGATAACTTACAAATTATTTAAAACTGAATAAAGCATTTTATCATGAAAAAATTAAAATGAATTAGACATGCATATTTTCTTTTACTGTCTTTCATTCTTTTAAAAATCCGTTGAAATTTAAGTCTCTAAAAACAACCATTTTTTTTCAAGAAATAATTATGTTTAGAATTTCTACTAACGGACAGACGATTTACATCGTTGAGTCTTTTGTTGCCAAAATATAAAAAAGAAACTTTGACCTCGTTAGAGTTTAAACTTTTCCTTCATTTTACTTTCAAACTAAAAAAAAAAGGTTACAAAAGAAAAATGGGAGGGTAATTGTAGCGTGAAGGAACTTTCTTGACAATTAATTTTTTTCTATCTCACCTTACAATCCTTTTTTCTTCTTTTTGTACATAATTTAAGTAAAATAAAAGAAGATGTGTTCAATCTGATTATAAAATGAAGTATTTTGAAATTCTTTGCGAACTATAGTTTTTTATTAATTTCTCAGATAACACGTATATTTCAAGAAAACATTAATTCATATAAGATATAATTTATGATAATAATTGTTGGTAACAATAATATGTAAATGTATAATAATATAAAAATAGATGTATAATAATATAAAAATAGATGTATAATAATATAAAAATAGATAAAATTTTCGAAATTTCATTTCAATCTAAATCAACTATAAAATCAAAATATGACACATGAAAAATGTAAAATTTAAAACTACATTTTAAATAATAAACAGCTATGAATTTAACAGAGTCCAATTTTATTAACTATAATTTTTTTACCTTTCTTGAAGTTCACCGATTCAAGAATAGACATGGTAAGGATATAAAATGGTAAAAATAAAATAGCCCATTTCCCCACTTATTTTCGAAATATAGATATAATAAGCAATTTAAACTGCGTTATTTGTTTCATTCTTCTCTTTATCAAACCCTGTAAACAGTTTTCAAGTCTTAATCTTTTAAAATATTTTTTAAAGTATAATTTTTAACAAAATAATTAATTTGTATAATACATTTAACGCTCTTTCATTATTTTTTAAGTATTATAATCAATTATAAAATTGAAAATACTTTTAGATTTTTTAAAACTTGAATCTAGTTCAAGTTTTTACAACGAAAAATTAGGTTTTACAAATAAAACTTTTTATTAATTGGGTTTCAAAATTGGATACAATTAAGCCTTATACCTATAAAATAATAACATTTTAAATAAATATTCAATTCATAAGTATTTAAAAAAGTATAGTATGTAATTGTAAATAGAAACTTATTTAATTCAACTTTGAAGAGAGAAACAGAGCATAACATTTTAAAAAGACGATCCTATAAATAGACTAATTTAAATAGTTTTCTAACCTTCAATTGCATACTAGCACTTAAGAAGAAGAAAACCTCCCATACCCACACATGTGACCTATTACGTCACCATCAGCTAATCTTTATCAGCAAAATGGTGCATTAAAGTTCAGTTAAATTTCTCTACAGAAGTTAGAATGTTAATTAACGTTAGAATGTTAATTAACGTTAGAATGTTAATTAACGTTAGAATGTTAATTTACGTTAGAATGTTAATTAACGTTAGAATGTTAATTTAAGTTAGTTAAATACAGAGCCGTATAGAACATCGAATTAGTTGAAATATTATTCTTTCTCGTCTGCTTTTTTTCTGTTTAACTTAGATTTATTATTTGCTTATTTATTTTATAATAACAATTTTGTTTTATGTACCTGGCAACTTCGACGCATAATTAGTTTGTTTATGTTCCACATGGCTTCGTGGTTATCTTTGTGTTAAGTCTAAGTATATAGTGAAAGAATTGAAATCTTCGAGAAATAATCTTTGTAAAAGAATTTAGAATGTGTCACCTAAGAGAAATGATACTTGACGGGCTTGGATTACTCGAAATAGAATGAAAAGAACAGTTGCTAGCTTGAACAAATGCCACGTTTCAACAACCAATCAAGATCGCGATATCCACACTACGTCACTTGCAGGTATCCCATTGTAAAATTATTCGTCAAATTTTGATACGGCCCACCGAAAGGAGTAGGTACAGAAGAAAATTTTTGATTTTATTAATTTTGGACTATTACAGGGGTGATTGTGAGCCTAAGTCAAAATTCCGGAAAACTTCTTGAGTTAAAAAAAAAAAACAGTTTAAATTGAAAAATTAGAAAAAAATTTAAACAAGGTTAATTTTCTTTCCTTTTTCTCAATATTTCTTAGCTTACTTAAAATATATTTAAACTTTTACACATACCTATACCATTAACACATACCTATGATGACCTGGAGAAGCAATTAAAATTCACAAATATGTCTTTCTTTCTTGAGTTTATGATTATAACAACTACTTACTGATAAAAAATGAATATTAATCATGAATATAAGCTTATAAAATATCTCTCTGGCTCTCCCTTACAAACAAATAAAATAAACTGTGCTTTTAAGCTCCATCTTTGAAAATTTGATTTCCGGAAACTTCTGTGATCAATGATTTTTTGAAACGTCTGGACCTTCGATCTCCGGAAACTTTCGGATCACTGTTAGCGAAAATTCCGGAAATCAGGATTTTTTCTGGAGCACAATCAGCCCTGCTATCAGGAGTTGACCTAGAGCAGTAGTATTACACCGAATGATACTGAATATAATTAATCTTTATTGTGAAGAGATGAACTTCTAAAAGCGTGTCTTGCTTAATAAGGTATAGTTTGTCTACGGTTCGAACTCCCCCCGCCACAAAGTCTGACACCGTCTGCTGCTATGGAAACAAGAATTGTCCATTTCAGGGAGTGTTGCTTTTCTTAACACTAAGGCTAACACAGTAGACCGAAGAAAAATATTCCCTTCCTCTCGCTGAAACCTGTCATAAACAATAATCCCACCCCCTACTAGAAATAGTTGTACCTCGTTACCATAGTCACTGCCACGGGTTCAGACGGATGGCTAGGGGAGTTCTTACTTTAGACAAACTATAGTATAAAGTAACCCAAAAGGGCAAGAAATAATAAAAATTTAAATTAGAGTAGTTTTAGCTTAACTAATTGCATCGAATATGCCTTTCAGTTTTATGAATGATTTTGTATTGTTGATTGTATACTGATATATTGATAATTTACTTTTTTTTCACCCGATACAAAAATCAGGTATTCAGTAAGTACAGAATAAAAAAGCCTGTTTCCTTTCTGCGTGATTCTTAAAGAAAACATTAATTCAGAACTCCCTACATCTAAACAGACTCCAAGAATACGTAAACAGATATACAGACTAGTAATTAGTAGTAATTAAATCAATTAATTTACCGTGAGCTCCTCACTAACATCATTTATACTTCGATCACATCAGACGAGATATCGGTATGCTGCATCTGGCAACGTGTTCACTTCGGCTGTCGGCAGCCATCTTTGCTTGATGATGATCTTAAAGTCTAAAGTTTCGATCGCGAATTATCGTGTGATTTCAGTTTCGAAAATCGTTTGCAAGCCAGTGTCAGTAATGTTCTCAATAATGGCCAGGCCCTGCGTCGTTCCGTTTGTAGAAATGATGATACAATTAATTTTGTTGTGTCTTTAAATTGGACGTTCGAAACTACGCTCGGCTGCCAATTATACGCCATTATCTTCGCCAGGAATCGAACAATGCACTGCTTTGCCTTTAATGTCCTCTCGCCGTTGCTTAACGGCGTGCAATGTAATTACGTTGA